ATGGCTGCAGCCAGGTTCACTGTAGAGTTGACAATCCATGTAAGGACCCACTTCAACTAACCACCCAAGAAAGCAGAACTCTTGAAACAGGTATTGTCTCAAAAGGATACTTTTATTAGGGATCAGTGACAGTAGGGAAGTCAAGGCGAGATCTGGGGAAAATCCCACACAAACGGTATAGTTAAGCAAGCAATATTCTTCCTCCTACCAAAATCATAATATCCATTAGAAATTCAGCCAATCCACAGGTGGGATATGTGCGGGTAACTGGCACAGTTGGTGCGCATCTCAAGGTCTTCTCCAGCTTTCGTTTCTCTGTAACTGTCTCCCTGATGAGGGAGATGCATTCCTTTCTCAAGGATAGAGGCAGGAGAGGGAAAATAGAAAGCGAAAGTTATCCCAAGCTCCCCCTCCCCCCAGCAGAATGGCAGACCCCAAAAGTAGAATATATATGCAAGGGAAAACACAGAGGTTTTGGGATCTTGACAATCCGGTTATGAGGCCATACCACATATAAGTTTTATATATAATTATGTGAACTGTGTATATATGTTTACTTCTCTTCTGTCATTTTCTCATCATGTGCTAAATAATAATAATTAGCTCTGAGATTTCCTTTCTACAAAGGATTAGTTAAGGGGAAAAGACAATCACTGTTGTGGACTAGCATGTGAACTCTAATATTATACCATAAAAATAGAACAACCATAATTCATATAAAATTCAAGAGTTCTGATGCCATTCTCACCTTAAATGCTTTTGGAGAATATATGATGAAGCTTGACTCCATGCTTTGTAAGAACTCATAATATACTGTCCATCTTGCAGCCCATAGCAAATGGGCCAAATGGAAGAAATCCATTCTACAGCTCTTCTCTCCATCATTATCAGCTCTCACAGAAACTCAGAAGACCAATAGCACTGGTTGGTCTCATGTGGATATCATAGATTTTTTTCACTATGCAAACAGTAATGGGCACATTTTGGTATGCCTTGATAGGTACCGTGTTTCCCCGAAAATAAGACCCACCCAGAAAATAAGCCCTAGCCTGATTTTTTGGGGGTGGGCCTAATATAAGCCCTATCCCAAAAATAAGCCCGGGGGGCTTGGTGTGGCCAGCACAAGCAGCAGCGAGCACGTGGGGGCTGGCAATGTCCAGTGGGGAGGCAGTTGATCCGGATGCACCATGCACTTTTTCGCCCAGAGGGAGATTGGAAGCTTCGTCAACTTGCAAATAGGAGCTTGGAAATGGAGCGAATCGCTCAGTTTCCAAGCACTCCATTTGCAAGCAGAGGAAGCTTCCAGTCTCCCTCTGGGCAAAAAGTGTTTGGATGCCTATGGGGCACTTGGAAACTGAGGGATTTGCTTGGTTTCCAAGCACCCCATAGGCACCCCAAACACTTTTCACCCGGACAGAGAAATGATGGAGGCTAGAAGCTGTGTCTGCTTGCAAATGGGACACTTGGAAGCGAAGCAAATCGCTCTGTTTCCAAGTGTCCCATTTGCAAGCAGACGAAGCTTCCAGTGTCCCTCTGGGTGAAAAATGTTTGGATGCCTATGGGGTTCTTGGAAACCCCAACCAGCAGCTCCGGCCCTTTAGAAAACAATCCACGCACAGGCGAATCCAAAGGCCCTCGCCCGTCGGATTTGAGTGCTAGAGGCAGGAAGAGAGTGAGTAAGAAAAGCAGGGTTTTATGTGTTTGTCTTCTGTGGTGACTCCCCATCTAATGTGCCAGCACAGCCAACCTCCTGTTGTGGCTCCGTCCAGTGGGTCCCTCTCATCAGAGGAGGAAGGCTCTGAACATGACGGAGAGGAGATGGCTAGGTCTCCCTCTCCCGGCCCTTCCCCTCTGGTGCAGCCTTCGGTGCCTTCCGACAGCGAGGAGTTTGGCCAGGAGCCCGGTGTTTCTGGGATTGGCCAGGAGCCCGGTGTTTCTGGACTTGGCCNGGAGCCAGAAGTATCAGATTCAGAAGAGGATAAGTTTTGGCTGGATCCACGCCAGCGTCGAAGAGATAGGCGTGCGCAGCAGCAGACACGTCGGGCCAGACAATTCCGCTGAGTCACTGGGCCACACCCCACTGGCTATATAAGCAAGGGGTGTGGCATGTGAATTTTCGTGACGGACAAAGTTTGATGAACACTCGGTGGCAAGCATTCTGGCAAGTTCTCGGGGCTTATCTTTGTTTGCTGTGGTTTATCATTAAAGACTTGGCAGGCAGCTACGAAGTGGCTGCCAAGACATTCCGTTGCCTTCGTCGGTGCCGAGTAGTTTGTCAGGCCTCGGCTGACTGGTTGGGGGGTGTGGGTCGGATGGGGGACAGAACACCTCCAAAGCCGGCCCTGGAGTTCCCCCAGTCTGTCCAAGCCGAAGTAGCAAGAAAACTCCAGAAACATTTAAAGAGGGACCTTGACCCCTTCCATATAGACTGCACAGGGAAGGGCTTGTACATAAAAGATTCACTTCGCCTCTTTTACCTGGCCAAGAAATAACAGGGCTTGATGCCTGAATGTCTGCACTGGCGATGCTTTCTTGCCCGTCTTCCCTGTCGGCAGCCCGGTCAGGAAAACAGTTTAAGATGCAGCGGCCACACCTGATAGGGCAGGGGTGCCTCTCGGTCCCCAACACATCTTGGAGGACAGGGAGGGAAACCATCTCATTTCATCCTCACGTCCACTCCCATCACGCCAAAAAAAGACACCACCACCTTAGAAGATCCCCTCCCCAGAGCATTTCCGCACCTCTCGCTGCTCCGCTGACCTACCCAGCTCAGCCCAGCCCTCCTGCTGTCAGCTGTGAGGGGGCTGCAATGCAGAAAGCAAAACAGAGAAATGACAGAGACTGGAAGCTTCATCTACTTGCAACTGGGGTGCTTGGAAATGGAGTCAACCGCTCAGTTTCCAAGTGCCCCATTTGCAAGCAGACAAAGCTTCCAGTCTCCCTCTGGCGAAAAGTGTTTGGGCGTCTATGGGGCACTTGGGGCAGCTCCACCCCCTCAACACCTGCCTCGCCTTGTGGCGGTGGTACGACGCAGCGGGCCACGCAGCCTCCTCCTTCTGTTCTCCATCTGACCTTGGAGCACTTAGAGGAGAGAAATACTCAGGTGCGTTTGTTGTTTGTTGACTTCAGTTCAGCATTTAACACAATCATTCCCCAGCATCTAGTAGACAAACTGGGCCCTTTAGGCTTAAACACTCCTTTGTGCAACTGGATTTTTGATTTTCTTACTAACAGGCCCCAGTATGTGCAAGTTGGAACAAATATTTCTAACACCATTTTCTTGAAGATGGCTGAAAAGATTATTGGCAGTTCCCTCCCTTCCATCCAGGACATAGCATATAAGCAGTTGCTTGAGCAGGGTCTGCAAGATTGTCTGGGACTTTACATATAAAGAACAGTTGCTGGAATTGGGTATGTCTAGTTTAATGAAGAGAAGGATGAGGACTGACATGATAGCAGTGTTCCAATATCTTAGGGGCTGCCACATAGAAGAAGGAATTAAGCTATTATTCAAAGCACCTGAAGGCAGGATAAGAAGCAACAGATGGAAACTAACCAAAGAGAGAAGCAACCTAGAACTAAGGAGAAATTTCCTGACAGTTAGAACAATTAATCTGTGGAACAACCTGCCTCCAAAAGCTGTGAATGCTCCAACATTCCAACATGGAAGTTTTTAAGAAGATACTGGACAACGACTTGGCTGAAATGGTATAGGGTTTCCTGCCTGAGCAGGGGGTTGGACTAGATGACCTCCAAGATCCCTTCCAACTTTATTATTGTTATTATTACATCCTCTTCATGACCTGTTTTCTTTGTTATCTTCTGGGAGGAGGCTTCATGGTATCCGAAGCAGAACATCCAGATTTAGTCAGTTTTGTTCCATACAGTATTAAACTTGTGAACTCTAAAGCTTCCTCCTTCCGTTATGTATTCAAGATGGACAGTGATTAATATTTATATGTTACTTATATGTAAAAGTTTAGGTCTATACATATGTTGTATATAGTATGTTTAAATGTGTGTTACGTATGTGTACACTTTGAGAGCAAGCAACTAAATTTCATTTTTAATGTGTGCCATTGTGCCTACAGTAAAAAATGACAATAAAGGTTATCTATCTATCTATGAGTGGCTGCAAATGGCTGCAGAAGTGGACCGGCGGCCATACGGGCTCCTGCCCTGACAGGGCAATTAGTGCCGCCGCCACAAGGCAAGGCCGGTATCAGGAAAAAAAATAAGACATCCCCTGAAAATAAGACCTACTGCCTCTTTTGGAGGTAAAAAAATATATAAGACCAGGTATTATTTTTGGGAAAACACGGTATGGCCACTTATAAGACTCTAATTTATGATTAACAAAAATAGGTAAATTTTTTCACCCATAAGCAGGGTTTGCAACCACCTACTTCTATTTATTAAATTATTTTTTAAGAATGCTTTTGCGACTAATGAGGGGCCACAAGTCAGTTTTCTAAATAAAAATGTTATGATCTTCAGTTTAGTAACTGAAGAATAGTTAAGTAATAAAGGTGGGATAAAAATCTAATAAATAAATAAATAGCATGCACACCTTGGGATTACAACAGCAACCAGAACTGCCTGCATTGCTATTGCTAAGAGATACAGTCATGTGACACTGTACTTTACAACCACATCACTTACCAATGGTAATCCCTGTCCTAATTGCTATAACCTGAAACCTACTGTATATATTTTTTATTAGTGTGTTCACTTAGCTCAGCCTCATATCACTGAAAAGCTGATACAGAACTGACACGGTTTCCGCAGTCATATAATATAAAAGAATAAAATTAAATAATGATTTGGTTATGGAACTAACAAAAAAAATCCACTCACATTAAATCCATTGTAGCATCCTGAAACTTGAGATTACTTTAAAATTGTGTACTCCAGATCTAAAGTTAAAACTAAACTTTAACTGATAAATTCATCTTTTGAAAAGTGAAAACAGTATGTTTTACATAACATTTTGAACATACCTGAATTGGAGTCAAACTTTTTTTCAGATCTAAAACAAAACAAAATGAAGACATGACATACATGTAACTATAAAAAGCTTTTTACCTCAAAAAAATCCCTCATAATAAATCTCAAGCAACAGCCATGGAATCTTTGTTAATATACTTGACGCAAATGTATCCTTAGTTTCATTTTAGAAATATTATTGACAAATATTTTCATTTACAAGATTGATAAAAGCAACAAGAAACACCCAAGTGAAAAATCCAATGTCAGAATTACAAACAGCACATTTTAAATATTTCTGTTTTAAAACTGTACTATTATACTTTGATAAGGATTCCCCTAAGAATACCACTGGATAATTATTTTATTTGGTTTCTTTAATATAACCCATTCTGAAAAAAAGTTTTATTTCCTATCAGATAGTTGGATATCAGCCTACTTGTGATTTTTTTTTTTTACTGAAAAATAAAAATAAACTTTCTGTTACATGTTGTCTCATACAGTATTTTAAGCATTACACTTATTACCGAAAAGCTCTATACTTAATAGTGAGGAAGAGGGAAAAAGAAAGAAAACTAGCCTTTCTGAGAATATCATGTTTCAGATATAGATGAATAACTGTCCTATATTCAAATACCTTTGAAGCTGTCAGATCAGCTATGGGAAAATGTAAGTTGGGTAATTACTTTCAAGATGCTCCTGAAGTGCTGTGAAGCAGAACTAACCCAGTGACAAGGCCTATCTGAACAAGCTGTAAGAAGCAATGTCTAGATCTAATTCTCAAATCTCATGCTCGGCCAGATTTATATCACAAATTAAAAACCATTGGGATATGTCTGTATATGGGATGGAAGAGAAGAAAAAAATTATTATTTTATAGTTAGAGCAGACATGTCAAACACAAGGCCCGGGGGCCGGATTCGGCCTGCGAAGTGATTTCATGTGGCCCGCGAAGCCATCCTGGAAACAATGAGGGACAGCCCCCGCTGCCTTGGCCCTGGCCCAGGCCGGCTGGGAGCCAATGTACAATTTTGTGGTGGCCATCTATGCTGAAACGCATTCAGTCTTAGCTCTACAAGGCCGTCTAGAAACAGCGAGGAACCAGCCCCTGCCGCGCAGGAGGGAACATCCCCAAACCCCCAACAGCCTCGCGCCTGAGAAAGAGTGGGGAGGAAGAGACCAGCACTCTCTCGCGCCTGAGAAAGGGTGGGGAGGAAGAGACCAGCACTCACGTGCACACGGAGGAAAGATCGAACGGGGGAACGGAGGTTAGAAAGGGCAAGGAGAGGAGGGCAGGACCAGGGAGCTGTGAGGGAGAGAATACCTTCGTACCCCCAATGGCCCCCCACCAGAGGAAAGAGGGAGAGGAGGAAACCGACACCCATACGTGCATGGAGGAAAGATCTAACCGGAGAGCTGAGGCCAGAAAGGGAGAGGAGAGGAGGGAATGGGAAAGATCGTGGAAAGGCGATACGGAGATCGAGAATGGGGGGAACGCACGGCAGGAAGGTAACCATGTAGGAGGGAAT